TTTCGCACTTCAACTTGAAACCATACCGATGTGGTGAAGAGAGAGCTCAGGCATTCCCCGACCAGTTCCAATGGTATCATTTGCAATTCTAGCGTTTTGGTTTATGCTTGACTATGAGAGTATATACCTACCCTCCTAGTTGGCAAAATATTGGTGTGTAGCTAATCGGCTGCCTCATTTACAGCGGAAAAATCTACAGTCTGAGCATAAGATTTATTGAGATGCCCTGGCAGTAGACACCTCATCCAACTCGCCCGTCCAGCTTCGATCCTTCCGTGAATATTTTTATTGGAACTCTACTACAGAGACTTGGAGACATGTGTGTGGAGAAACATCCGTTTGGGTCCAGGCTCGGAACACTCAGATCCATTTCTTCCGGTAAGTCGAAGCTTCTGAGAATTATCAAGTGCCCGTACGCTGGGTGAAAAAGGGAGCTCAGACCTTTAGAGCTGAGCGAACCGTCGCTTCTTTGTCTGAAATGTCAACTGGTTCGAAATAACATTTAGCGCTAGAGCATCAGTGGTCCGAAGCGCTCCGCCGATTCCAGCGAGGGCCGCCCTTTACACGCACTCTAGCTTCCTAAAAAGAGTAGATTTTTCCAGTGAATATCACCAGACAATAACCCGATATAACATTTTTGACGTGATTATGGTTTCATATAGACAGTATATCATATTTAGAGATGCGGCCCATCTCTTCCCCATGACACTTTTACAGCAGTGGAGAGCCATTGATGCCTTTTTACTACCTTCTTAGTATATGAGTAAGTGAAACACCCCCTATTGAGAGGAGCTGGGAAATGAGGCGTTTTGCATCTTCTGGTTAATATATAATAGGTAGTAAAGTCCGCAGCTGGCTGACCAATTTTCATAAGATCATACAAAGTTTCCAAGTACATTCCTTTGACGATGAGTGCCGTATAATTCGCATAGGCAACCACCTGGCATCCTCTCCTTTCCAAGTCTTCCAGAACGTCAAAGGGCGCCTTCCGGCGGGGTGACTCTGCTCACTTTGCTCTGGATAGAGACATTGTCCTATTCCACTGGGACGGTTCTGTCATGCAACATATAGAATATGTGCCTTACTATGTAGTCTCGACTTCGAGATCTTCAGGGATCTTAATATCGCCCCTGGAAACACATTATTGAAAGCCCCCTGGAACATTACTCTTAAAAAACTCCTCTACCACTTTGACAAGTGTGTGCAAGGCAACAGATGTACCCTTCCGGTAGGCATGCTGAGAGGGGCTCAATCTCTCTCGAGGAATCCTGTTTCGTAACATGTCTCTCAAAAGCTTTCCAAAAGCCTCAAAGCTCCCGAGATGTACCATCTTTCTAAGCAGTCCGCGTATATAGCAGCCTTTTACAACTGCGCAGGAAGGAGGCCCTTCTCCATTCCATTTAGGCGGATTACGTGAAGTAGGATGTCAAAAAAATTCAAGTTTTCATTACATGAAGTTTCTCTTGAGATTTATCTTCAATGAGAGCAAGTACCATAACAGATTTGATCATTTTGATTATCCATGCCGTTCAATGTGCCCAAGTAGAAATTAAAACGCGAAACATATTACGGGGTAGCGATATCTGTCAAATTCAAGCGAGTACTGCCGACGATATGTGCGCATCTTACCCCCATTCATGTAGATCAACAGCATGCTGAACGCACAAGAAGACGTCGAAATAGGTAAAAAGCCTTTGTGCTGGCTAGCGTCGTCAAGTTATTCCATAAAGAGTATTGCCAGAGTGATAAGAAGGGGTTACTGAAAAATTGTCTGAGCTTGCATAAGCATGCGCGTGCATTTAAATCAATTTTAACATCTTAGCCCTTATCGCATTTCTATTTACACTTAAAGCTATGCATTGCACAAAAACATAAAATCGTGCACATGCATTTATTGTGCAGCACAAGTATGTTTTGTGTAGTACATTGCAAGTATACACATATGTATGTATGTACATACATATCTACAAGTTCCGTCTCGATGCCACAGTTGCAATTTTATATTCAACGCTTATCTTTCGAAATCCTGGTGCATTAAGTATAATGAAATATTTCTTGCGAAAATCCATATTCAACATTCCCATGCATCAAGTAAGTAGCAGCATGAGCATACAATGTCAATCACTGCCATATCCGGCCGCAAACTTGAAACTCTTTCCTCAGCACTCGTATGCGCACAAAGGGCTGATGTGGCAAGAGTGTTGTGTGCAAACATATGCACATACATATATACACACATATTTTACCACAAGCAATCCGTAGACTAACTTACTTACATACATACATACATATGTACATATGCAGCAACAACGCTTTATAGCCGCTATTCTTCCCAAGCCACTGCGGGCTCTTTAGATGAAATGAAAAGATTTGTTTTTTTTTGGATAAGCCTCCCGGACTTAGCAGCGGCAGAAATTTTTCGTTGCTTCTGCTGCTGACAGCGGCAAATTTCAAGTTTTCGCACAACACAGCACGTTGTTACTACATCCTTGCGGTTGGCGCTGCAACAAACAAAGAAGCATCAATCCCTGATGCCTGTTGCCTTGAAGTTGCACTACCTTATAAACTTGCAAACTACATCCTTGCTGTTGTGCTAATGCTTTTGTTGTTGGCAAGTAAGTAAGTATGAAAGTAGTTCGTTGCAAATTTTTGCATGCAACAGTTTTGGCAACCTCAGCCGCCCACACACATATTTACATATGCCCATATTTATGTTTGTGTGTACATACATATGTATGCATGCACATGTGCGCTGCTTAGATGTTTTTATTCCCGAAAATTTTGCTGGTCCATTTGCCTTTTTGAAATGTTTATTCGCTTCATTATTTGTTGCTTCTTGCTTTTGAAGCCAATATTTGGTTCAATTGTGTGCAGAAATGCATTAAGGAGTACAGTAAAGCCACNAACTTTTAGAAAAATATTGAAAATTTTACCTTTGCTGCAAATTGATGCAGAAGAAAAACAGCTGTGCACGCGTCAAACGAAAACAAATTGCCAACATGCTGGCAAATTAATTTTAGGTGTCAAATGTTGCCACATTGGCGGTCAAATTAAATTAAGGCCGTTTTCACTTGGCTGTCATTTTATATGACCGTGCGTGGTCATATATGACAACGAACGCATTTGATGCCATATGACAACCCGTTTTCATTCAACTGACAACATTTGACGTCAAATATGACATAGTGAAAACCAAACATTAGTTTTTATTTACAACTTTCAGTGTTCCATTTCCGGTTTGCCGGCTATGTCTAATACGCGTTGGGGAAATTTTTTCGAAATTCGAGGAATAATTTTTTTTTTGGGAACAGTTTTATAAGTTCACACACGAGTGTGGGCTTCACACGTATTACATTACATAAGATGTTTGAGCGTTTTATTAAAATGTTAGCAAATACCCGGCCTGCTTCACTGCGCCTTAAAAGTTTTTTTGTGTTGTTTGTGACCCTCCTTAAAAATAATTATGGCAGCAAACTTTCCTAAACCTCTTCAACTTGATACCCATATTGCAATATTCAATTCACCTTTTCAATTACATATTTAAAATTAAAATTTTCAAACAAGTGGCAACCTTCTACAGAAATATTTTCGGCTGTAAGCCTTTTTCAACCCATTTTTTACAGCCATATTGCAATATTTACTTTATCCTATCAATTTACTTAAACTGCAATGTACAAACAGGTGGCAACTCTCTGTTTTTTTTTCTTTCTATTTTTTAAGCTGGACCTCTAGCAATATATCAGTGAAAACTGCATTCAATTTCATGCATTAGTTTTCGAGTGATGCACGTACAAACATACCGACAAACAGACGGCAAAAATTCTTAAAATTATTGATTTCGCTTCTGAGCTAAACATTTTTATGAAGATAGTAGTCACATTAATAGCTATTTTGGGCCTACAAAGTAAACTAAAAACTAACAACGGACACAAAGATGTCAGTTTATGTGATTTAGAATGAGCATACTAAACCCCTTCCCTGCAGTTATACATTCATACATTCATATTAAATGCAAGATGCAACAAGCAATCATCCGCTCTTGGAGCACTCCACTTTCGAATTTCTCCTACAGCCAACCAGCCGTTCCCAAAACATAGTTGTAGTACAAGCGAAATTGAAACACTCAGCATCTGTTTAACCCCAAGCCTGCAACAGGCCTATGCCTTGTCACGCAGATGAATGTGGCTCTCGTCGACATACTGAACGCAACAAATCGAAATATAACCCATTGTTGATCGCTGAAGCATGTGGCATGTGCCGCTGTCAAACAGGCACACACACACACTGACAGACATTTGGTGGTGGTGGTGGTGAAACAGTTAAGCAAACGAGAGCGGAACACCACTTCCTGATTGTTGCGCTGCGCGGTGCTGTTGCTGCTGCTGCCGCCGAAACTCCTGTTCCTGTTTCCACACAAAACTGCAGCTGCTCTTTCCGCCAATACTGGCTTGGTTGGCTGTTGCTTTAGCTGTTGCTGTTATAGCCACGTTCAACAATCATTCGGTTTACTTGCCAAGTTGAATCTCACAAGTGAGCGAGCGCACATACGACCGTTTGCCAACGTGTTCCTTCTTACGTTAGCGCCGCGCTCATCGTCCTTTCGTATGAATGCGAATCGGCTGTTATTTAGTTGTTGTTTACTTATTCGTGCGTTTCTTTTCCCATTCAACATGAAGCAACAGCTCAAAGGCACGAAGTCTTATACAGCTGAGAGCGCTAGATATTCTAATTGAATTTCGTTTCAACCTTTGTTCGCTTTGTTATTGCTCGTTGAGACCAATCAGCTGCCCTTCATCCCTTTGGCCCGGCTTTGTGTGGCTCGTCGAGCGCTAGGGGTTGCAAAAGCACCCCAACGACTGGGAACAGTTTCGTTCCGACATGCTCTTATTCAGTTTCGTTACGTTTCTTTGAGTTCCGCTCTGTCGGCCGTCAAAGCCGAGCGTGTGCGTATAAAAGCCGTTGTACGATGACCACGGGTTCTCATAAGCCTCCAAGGGTTGCTTACGTTCGGTTCGCATTTCTCTTCTCTCTTATATAATATTCTCTTGTACGGATCCTTAAGTTTTTTTCACCTCAATCAATTCTATGCATTGTTTTTTTTTATTAATCTGACAAACACTAAACTTTAACTTTCAACCTAATTTTTTAATAACAACAATAAAAAAGTCGCGAAATAACACAAAAACCAGTGATAAAAAAGTGTTAAATCCAAAATGGTATGTGATTGAGCAATAACGCGCGTGTATTTTGTTCGATATTATTACAATGAATATAAAACTGCTGAATTGCTAAAAATCTGAAATTTCAGCATCTCAAAATTTATACATACTTGATTTCGCATTTTTTTCGGCGACCGCTCTGATTACTAACAAACAAAAAAACTGAACAATTCACCCGCAGACGGGTGTCGAATGTGTGAACCATCGAGTGGCTGACTATTGAATCACGGATTAAAAATCGATACGCAGTCGAGGAAGAGTTGTACGCAAATCACAAGTCAACACAAAAGTGCAACAGTCAGAAATGAAAAAGCAAAAAGCAGCAATGAAAGCTACACGCACTTGTACTTGAAGGAAAAAAAGAAGCCATCAAACATCCAAAAAGAAAGGAAAGAGAAATATTTAAAAGCTCTATGCTTAAACCAGCCATGTGCTTGTGTATGTATGTATGTCTGTATGTACTGATGTACGTGGGGACTCTAATGAAGTAAAAACTTTGAAAAGCAATAAAATTAAGCAATTCCGTGTATTAGTAAATTAGGGTAAAAGCAATAAAGTAAAAACTAACTATCGAACTAACGAAAGTTGTAGTAATAAAAGCTGTAAAATCCTTTCAAAAGAAGACACTATTCGAATGGATTCAGTGGTGTGGCAAGTGTGGAATTTTGACTTGCCTAAAATGTGTAGCAGCGGCGATAAACAGAACTTAAAATTTAAATAAAAGTGGCATAACCCATCTGAGTTGACAGTCTATCTAATGTATTGGCCTTAGTTGTTTAACGCTATTGAATTTCGTCGAGCAAATTCTGCTACCAAATTGAAGAGCTACTGAACTATCATCAAATCAATTCAAGTTCTTTTACCAATTAGTAGCATTTTTTAAATGTTTTTTGCGGCAACAATATCCATTACCTCTACATACCTTTAAACTTAGCTCGTTCGAAATACCTATGTATCTCAATACTCTGGCAGCTTCAAGCTTAACTAAATTTAAAAACAAAATTACCAAAAGCGCAGGCTCATCCGTCGAATTTCAACGTTAGCCTGCCTTCTACTCGATTTGCCCAATTTTGTTTTAACTCCAACGATACAATACTTTAAACTTCTTTCGCTGCCCTACCATGCCCCGCTGTTTAATGGCTAAGAAATGGAAAGCATACCCTTGGCTCGATCGTGTTGACGATGCGCAAGCAGCCACAGCTGCGGCAACTAGTTTGAAGAAATCCCAAGAAACTGAAATCAACATCGAATTGGTGCAAAAGCGTAACGCCGCACGCTCGCCCAGCCCCAGCAGCACGCAACAATATAGACGAACATCAAAATCGCGCCGTTCCACTATAGACGATGATGAGGAGATCGATGTAGTGGGTGATAACGCAGCGGTAGCAGTGGCGGCTATTGCAGGCGTTGTGCCTACAGCGACAACCGTTGAAATCCAGCATAACAGTAAAGACGAGTCATTAGTGCAGCGCACAATCCCCTCGTCAAGTTCGTCTTGCAACAGCAATAGCAGCAGCAGCACCAGCAACGGTTCAACACCAACGGCCACGTGTTGGGGTCCTTCATCTCCGACGGCTGGTGCTACAGCGCCAAGTCCACCACCACACTCCCCAGAGGCGGCAACGCGTGGGACAACAACGCTGTATAACGGTAAGTTAAAGGTCTGTTTTTGAGAACGTGTTGTTAGAGAAATCATCTGGGCATGGGAAAATGAGTATGTTGGTCAGTTTTGTGGTTGTGTTGGTTATTAATTTAATGTCCTCAAGAGGCTATATGTTTTTTGTTGTATTTCTCGTAGGCAAACATACAACTATTCTATTATTTACTTAGTAGTCAATCTTAAAAATCCTTTAGACGTTATTTTGTATATTGTTTTCCAGATGACCTGGGGTCCAGCTCGCGATCATATTGGTGCCTATTTCTCACTGAAGCCATATTGTAATTGGACGAGGCTCATCATTTTTTTCTGTAGATGTCTTCCAGGCTGACCATTACAATTTTTTAGGCTTATTCTCAAGGAACTAACATTCAGGCAATCACAGGCAATGTCACTTTGAGTGGAGATTCTGATTTGGGAGTTCGTTTGGGCTCGAAAAAAGCACTGAGCCGTATTTGAAGTTACCGATATATACGGACCTATAAAATATTGTTAATATTACAAAATGGTTAAACAAACAATTGGATATTATTATTGGAAGTCTTCTGAAAAGAAACAGAGTTTTTCGATAAAAAAATTTTCAATATTTCTATACCATTTCCATGAAAACGTGTTTTCCCCATATAAAATATATGGGAAACTCCATGAGCTTTCAGGCAGTGCTTAATATAATTTTTATTAGCAAAAAATATATATGGGTATTTTCCCCCATTTCATCGCCTGGATAAAATATTGTCGTATGTTACTTTCGGCAGGTTTTGGGAAATCGCGATGGAAGTTTGGAATGCATTTTTAAAAAAACCCGACAATAGATTTTCTCCAAAGTCACGGAAAATGTTAATAAATAGATCTGAAGGCTTTTTTAGTAAAATTTTGTCGTATGCTACATTTGTTAAGAATTTGCAACCACTTTTTATAACATACGACAAAATTTGATACAATTTTTACTAAATTAACGATACTCTTTACTCATATTAACATTGGAAAAATACTAATTTCTTAACCTGTATGAACAACAAAGCTTCGAATTTAAGAATTGTAAATTTTTCAAGTCCGAAAGTAAAATGATACATATTTCTTATAAACTTAAGAAATATATTCAGGGTTCGAGAAAATCTCGTTTGGGGTTTTCTTTAATATATCCATTTATACCAAGGTCTAATTAGCAAATTTGAAATCTTCTACTCAAAGATTTTATCGTAACGCCATACTAAACTTTTCGTAAATTTATCGAAATTTTCTAAAGCAATGCCATAAATAATCAAATCTGAAATTGTTATGCTGAAATATTAAACTCAAACTTTAAACTTTCGGAGTTGTATTTGATGGGTTGTGGAGGTGCTGAAAATTATGCCAGTAGTTAAGTAGTGTTAACTAGGTTAACATCAGTAAGCAGTGAAAAAATTTAGGTGTCTAAAATGTATAGAGTATTTTCAGTGAGATTTTAAGAATACCTGATTAGAACTCGACTTATTAGAAAAATGAAATATGTAAGATTGTTTGTGCTTAGTAATAATTATCCACAAATTAATGACACAATTAATTAAATTCAAAGGGTTCTTGGACTTCTCACACCAAACAGACAGTCGATTGGAAAACTTTATAAAAAGATTTAACTTTTAATTGGATTCCAAGTACACTGGTTTGTTTGCCTATTGTATCTGAGATCTAAAAAAAGGTTGATTTTGAATTCTGAAAAAATACTAGTCTAGCAAGCACAGTGAAGCATCGTAATCAGTTTTGTCAAGGTTCCAAATCCATTATTCTTAGTTGGTTTTTTTTTCAGGATTTTTCATTGCACCAATAGTTTTTATGAGCGTCATTCATAAGTTTCCTGATGTACCAAATAGTTTCACTATACTCCCTCTCTCTCTCTAAAGACCCGTAATTCGCCACACGGCGCCCACATGAGTTATAGCTTTCCAGTCTAGCTTAGTTTTCAAAAAGAGTTAATGCATAGATAGACGACAGCGTTGATCCAGATCAACTCGTTAATTTGGAACTATCTCGTGAATTAACTGCAGCTAATCCCCAAAATTAAAGCAAGCGACTATGGCGTCCGCGGTAGCCGAGTAGTGAAAGCTGGGTATTAAAATTCCATGAGACCCAGGTTCGATACTCGGTTCAAGGGATTGCCAAAAATTTTTAATTATCATTTTTGTCCTTTTATTTGATTTATGTATATATTTTATTGGACTTAATTTCGTTTTATTTCGCAATATTTTTTTATTATCAGTTGATTATATTTTTAAGGTTTAATTTCATTAAAAAAGTTCGTGACAACGTATTAACAAAAACAACAAAAAATAAAGGTATTAGTTGAATGAATAAAAAAAAAATTTATGTAAATTCGACTAGCCACCATCTCGCGGCTAACTAATCCGCATTACTGCCATCTGTTAGGGTACAATTTCGATCAAATCAACTGTAACCTCAATCCGGATTAACGTTTCCATCTATGCCATTATATAGATAGCTGAGAAGCTTGGAGTGAGGTGTGGACTTAGGACCTTATGAGCCCTCTGTAGGGGGTTAATGTGCTCATGATGAAGCTACATGAAGTTAGCGGTCTTCTTACGTCTACTGGAGGTGGAATCGGTCTCTCTGTACGAGGCCTAAAAGCAACAAAAAATATTCGAATCATTCGATTATTCTTTTGTTAGTGCAGGCAACATTTCAAATCACTCAAACACATTGTAAAGATGCCTGTGGATGTTTTAGTTTCCCCTTTGGAAGGTTAGTTGGAGGATTAGGTCTATTCAAATTGTGTTGCTCCCTTATTTCGCTTTTCTGCTTCCTGAGTTCTTCTTTAATCGCATTTGAACCAACAAGAAGAATGTCGTAGGCCCATTTGCAGTTGTGGACGCTAATTCTCATACAAGGCTGGCTGGTGTCTCATTTCCAACCAAACCCTAGCACTTCAAGTATATATGTAAGTATAAGAAGTATTTCGTCGGCCGCTGTGGTGTAGTGGTAAGCAGTGCGCGCTTTCACTCATCAGCACCTGGGTTCAAGCCCTGGTCAAAGCAACATCGCAAAAAATATAGAAAAAGGTTTTTTCTTAGAAGCGGTCGTCCCTCGGCAGGCAATGGCAAACCTCCGAGTTTATTTCTGCCATGAAAAACAGCTTCTCATAAAAATACAATCGCCGTTCGCAGTCGGCGTAAAACTGTAGGTCCCTCCGCTTTGTGTGACAACATCAAGGCGCACGCCACAAAATCGGAGGAGAAGCTCGGCCAAACACTAACATATATGTAAGCGCCAATCTATTATTTTTAATATTATTATTATTATTATTGTTATTATTATTATTTTTATTATTATTATTATTATTATTATTATTATTATTATTATAAGTATTTCAATATGGCCTGGTACCCAAATAACTCCGATTGTGGAAAATTCCCTAGCCAATGTCGAGCAGTTTTACACAAATTCGACTGCTTCCTTAATGCCAGCTCTGCCTGGGAAGCAATGCAGTTATCTACGATGTCGTAAAAGAATCATTCACCGATACTTCCGTCAAGTTTCGACCCATCCGTGGAAAAATTCACTAAATGCAACTACAGCTTCCCGTTCGGTCATTCCCAAAGGAGTGGCTAAAGTCGCATAAAGTCGAAGCTTCGGAAACCTTTCTTTGTGTGTTTCTGACGAGGCTAAATAATTTTGAGAAAAAGCTAGAAGCTAAACATAACTTTTTTCGGCTAAAACAAAAAAAAAATCGAAAACCAGAAATTTAAAATGGCAACACTGATTACTATTAAAAAAAAAAAAATATATATATATATTTATATATTTGTGTGATTACAATAATACATACATACATATAAAAGAAATTATAAATTTACTAACAACGTCCCAAAATACCATTTCTTCAAATTAAATGCGCGGCTCAGGTTCATGTGAACTTATGCCTGTCCTTATACTCGTACGTATGTATGTTTGTACAATTTATTCACATACATACATATATAAAGCGTGCGCGTGCACTTGTTAATAAATAGTGCCCACACCAATGTTTATATATATATAAGTATGTAAACATATGTATTTGAATGTACATAGTTACTAAGGTAAGTTCAGTCAGCCCGCAACTCAGTGTGGCGGTGAGCAGAAAAAGTTCAAATTGGACGCCCCTTGAGACGTTTGACTCTTGGCCAAGTGTACAAACCACAGACAGGGAAGTCTGTCAGGAATTCAAATGCTCCACACCGTTGGCAGTTTTCACGAGTCATTGAAGCAGCTCCTGCCACAGTTTGCTGTCTCAGCAGCTGTTCATTAAAAAAAAAGCTAAAATTTAACATTTGATCCGCAAGCCGGCTAGTTTGTTGCAAGTGAGTTGACAGTAAAGTAAAATTTGTATTTTTGGTCATATTTACGTCATTTCCGCTCAAAGTTTTCCTAATGCGAAATGTTTACAACGTGGCGCATATTTTTTGGCCTTTGTTGTGGTTGTGGTATGAATATATAACGATTTTTTTCTCAAGTTTTTACATACTTTCAAAGCTGAGTTTTATTCGGGTATGAATTTCTGCGTGTTGTGCATCATCTCAAACTTTCAATCGTGCCCGCACCAGTGAAAGCTCCGACGGCTGTTTGATAAAATTGCAATTTGAGCGCGTTTGCCTTTGTTTTTATGTTTTTCTATTTTTTTTTCTAACATTTGTTTAGCTAATTTACTTAATTTCGCTTGTCATGTTTTATAAATTACGGCAGTTTTATGTTACTTATTCAAATACATACATACATACTGACTTTTTTAACAACCACTTTTGATAATTTTCTATTACCCTGATTTCCATCTGCTAGTTGTCTCGCCGTTTTTCTGTTTCTGTTTCTTCTGCTGACGCTTTACTTCCATTTGGATTTCGCTGTCTCAGTAAAACACGCATTTCCGTTTCCGTTTTGGCAACTTATGTTTTTGATTACAAGCGCTAACAGGCTCAGGCTTTGAGTCTGCTTCGCTCCATTTTTTTAACTTAATTCAGTTGCT